TAGGCTCATGTAGAAGCTTTCTATTTAAAACCTTTAAAATGTCCACTAGCTACTATTTGGAATAGTGGGGGTTCCTAAGTTCAACAAATCATCAGAGGCTTGCCATTCCTTGTATGGGATTTTACTGGGGAATGCAATGTGATTGTTAATTAACAGAACTCCATGTCCCTTAGGACCCTTATTCCTCAACCTGGTTTCCACTGTCTTTCTTATGTTCACCTACAATATAAAGTTTACTTTTGTAGAAGGAAATCCTGCCATGTGTGAGCCAGGAGGACGTTATGCTAAGTGAAATAAGCCAGACATAGAAAGACAAATAATGCATTATCTCATTTACACGAGGAATCAAAAAAAGTAGAACTCATAGAGGCAGAGAGTAGAATGGCCGTTACTAGGGCCTGGAAGGTGAGAGAAACGAGAAATGCTGGTCAAAGGGTATAAACTTTCACTTATACAGGATACATAAGTTCTGGAGATCTAATGTACAACACGGTGACTACAATTAATAATACTGTGCTGTGTACCTAAAATTCGCAGAGAGTAGATTTTCAGTGTTCTCACCACACATATGCGTGCATGTACGCACACGGTAACCATGTGAGGTGATGAACGTGTTAATTAGTTTGATTGTGGGGATCATTTTACAATTCATAAGGACATCAAAACATCACATTGTACTCCTTAAATACACACAATTTTTACTTGTCAATTATACCTTAAATAAAGCTGGAAAAAAAGAAAGTTTACTTTTGTGACAATTGCCTGTTATTTCAAGAAAGCTGTGTTAGAAGCTGAATTAATTGGGAAAGCTGTTGTACCAAGAAGACATGGAGGGCCTTCAGCAGAACTGCCTTTAGGCTGTGCCGAGCAGGGGCAGGTCTGGGACAGGATGGGTTGGAGGTGAGCCTTCCCTGCCCTCTCTGGGAACTTTCTGCCTCAGCTCCTAGCCTCAGCACCACCCACAGTTTGGGTATCACCTCCCTTTGCTTAACCTTTCCCTACAAGGGTGGGTAGGGGTGGGGTAGATTGGGAAAAAGCCTCAGCTGCTGTTTTAAGCACCCCACACAATTAATGGGCAGCTCCAGCTGGTGTCCTGAAAGACAGACTGAAATCCTACACCTTTTTTTCCTTATGATCGAATTGATTTTGGCATTCACTTCCAGAGTTACTCTAGTTTTTAAGAAAATGTTCATCTGGGATAACAAGGGCCACTCGGGTACAGCAGAAGGCTGTGTAATGCAGGTCAGGACCAGGGACAAATTCAGAGCCTGCTACTGTGGGGAGGCTAGTTTCTAGGAAGCCCATCTCTGGACACCATCTTGCACCCCAGGCCTAGGAGACTTTCAAATGAGTAGAAGTCTTCCCTGAGTTAACTAGAGGAGCTCCTGGCCCACCCTGAAAGAAAGGAGTTCAGAGAGATGTCTGCTCTGATCATGAGTCTTTAGACCATTCAAAGGTTATGCTGATGGTCAACAAAAAATGAACTCTGAGTGTACTTGACAAGACTGTCTCAGATCCTCTTACTTCACTTCTATGTTTCATTTCAGGCTCCACTCCTTGAAACTCTAGCTTCCAATCATCTTTGCTTTCCCAGTCTTGACTTGGAGGACTCCCTTAGACACGGCTTACATTCATTTTCTTTCTCTTCCTACTTTTTCTTGCTAGAGATAACATCTGGCCAGGTGCCATCCTAAATAGGCTCTTCCCACGTCAGGTTGCTTTGCCAATCCTCTGTCTAGGCTTGCCAGGACTGACCTACAGCGAGTGGTGGGGCAGAGGGAGTCAGTTATGCCAGGAAATGCATTTGCAAGTGGGAAGGTAAGGATGGTGAACTGGAAGAAGCCCGACCAGCACTCTCCAATCTTTCCTGAGGTGGGAGACTGAGCAGCTTCCACTCAAGAGACATGAGGGCAGCAGGCTACCAGGAGGACCAGAGTTCAATGAAGGAATATGGTGCCAGGGAATTTTGCAAGGACTCTGATGATATAGGCTAGTTTGTCTAGGACATCATGAGTATCAGGATGGCATGTTGGATGACCCTGAAGATCAGCACTGCAAGGAAACACAGTGCAGCGTGGACAGGAGACAAAGATGAGACTGATGATCAGAATCTTGATTTGGGGTGGACGGCGGATGGCAATAGGATGTGAGGCTTGGCAGTACTGGTTGGCGCAGTGGAGATGTCAGATGACCCTAAGGCCTGAAAAAGCTGATGGCCATGGTGAAAAGTTGTCTTCAGCAGTGTGCTAAGTAATCTTGGAGGTCTCAATGCCCAAGGGTCAGGACTGGAGACACAGTAAGTATAAAGTGCAGCCATTTTTTTATGGGGTTTTTTGCTCAAGTGATTGGGAGACGGTGTTGGGCAGCCCTCAGGACACTTATCTTGTGATATGCTGCTCTGCACTGTGTATAGCCCAGGCATGAATCCTCCCTCACTGCACTGCAGAAAAGTGGAAGAGAAAAAAATTTCAAAAAGGCCTATGGCAAGAGGAATTTTCCTCCTACACATCTGCAAGGTAAAAAGAAAACAGCTTCATCCAAAAGATGCAATGTTTTACCTCTAGGTCATTTCACTCTTGGCAGAACAGATATGGAGAATTTATCTGTACAGAACTTGACCAAGAAAATGAGTTTGAGGTCTCTGAGGGAACAGGCCTCCATCTGTTGTTTTTATGGAATTTAAAAGGGAAATCAATGATGGGTGGACTGCACCCTCTTTCATCCCTGGAGACAAAGCTCAAGTACCCTTATTCCAGCACTTGGCTCTCAGGGTTTCCTCTCTAGAAGAGTTCAAGATCTTTTGGCTTTGGTTTGATTTTCTAACCTTACCTATCAATTTTTTTTTTTTTGGTAATGAAACTCCTTCTTCAAGCAACAGCTAACACAGAATCACAATACATGAAACAAAAAACTTCAGAATTTTGCTAGCATATATTTATTTTATAAGTTCATGTTTACAACATTTTACTTTGTATACTGTCAATAACTGAAAACAATGAGGCCATTTTCATGAATACAAAAAACCTGAAATCAGGGTATATTTGGTTGAACAGTATTGAAAAATTGTAACTTAGAAGTGATCACAAATGATACCTTTTAAAAAAATGCTTCTCTTAGAATCTCAGGATATTCTTCCATTAAAATTATCCACCATCAGAAAATATAATTTATTGTTTCCAAGTCAAATCACTAACAACAATCAACAGCTGCTGACATACTTATCACAAAGATAACAGACAACAAGCACTCAAATGTACCAGGGGAGTTAAAATGGTTTCCAATGCAATGTGGTCACAACTTGACTGACAGATTACATATTTACTTGTTACCGCAGCACTGTTAGAACAATAAAGACAGCATGCGTTAAACATACAATAAGTATCATGAAAATCAGGAGTCTTAAGCCTTATTGAAGGCCTTCTATGTTCCAGACATCATGCTAAGTGATTCAAAGGCATTACATCATTGGAGCCTAACAACAACCCTATTCTATTATGTTCCCATTTTCTTGATAAGGAAACTGATTTTTGTATTAAAAAAGCTACCACGATGCTATCTATGAACTAGCATTTAACTGAATGGTGCTCATTTGTGCTCTCCAAGCACACATTACATCACAGGGCATGCATGAATATGATTTAAACACCTGTGAGGTGCCATAACTTCTTTAATCTTTGAACAATTGAGAGAAGTCCAGATATGCGCTCAGATATCACAACAGAATGTTACTTCCAAGGTCTGCACAAGGTCCCTCTGGAAACATCAGGGAGCTGTGGGTGAATGCCAGTGTGAAAACATTTGTATATCCACACAGCTTGAATCTACCAGTTTTTCAGTAGAGATGTGAAGACTTCAAAATACATTTTAAAGATGGAACTCCTGAAAAATCTCTGCAGAACTATGGAGCACAACTTGAAAATCACAATGGTAGTGGCCAGAGGATTACCAAGAGACAGAAAGTTCCAGACTTCTATCTCAGCTCTTAATAACCACTTGTTATTATTTCGATACTGAGGAGACCACTTAACTCATCTGAGCTTCGTCTTCTCTTTCAAAAAAGGCAAAATGGTAGTGTACTGGGATTGCTGTGTACTATAAATACAATAGATACATGTGAAACACCTGGGACATAACAGACCCTCAATAAATGAGCTCCTTTCCTCTCCTCCATCCCCTTTGTTACCAAAAAAATCTTCTCTTACCAGACGGTCAGCTCACTAAATCCAATCCTCCCTCTCTAGCATGTTTTCCCATAATGTCCACTCTTTCTCGAAGGTGTCTGGCACACTGTAGATCTCTTGCAAGCAGAGATTAGCTGAGTCATCTGTGCCTTGGGGGCCTAACACAGTGCCTGGAACTGTCCATCTGCCATCTAGCGGAGAAGTGGAGGAGTGCATCCCAAGTAAAGAAAAGAAACATCATAGGGGAGGTGGTTGTATTCATTAGGCAATGGTGCGTCTACTGGTGTGGTGACTTATTTACGCATGGTTATTTAGCTTCTCCCACGCCGCCACCGAGGCTACATCCTCAAGGAGGTGGTAAGCTCCCTGAGAGCACCACCCATTCTCTTATATTTAGGATCCTGACCTCCTTGACCAGCGCCTAACACTGCTAGGCACTCAGAGAGAAGGTGCTGATTTGAGAAGGGAAATCACCTGACAAGTCCAAGAGCTTCTATTTTTAAATAAATTACAAAAGATTTTTTTTTTCTCTCACGTCATTTCTTTTTTTCTACGGTAGGGGTAAACTTTGGTCTGTTTGGGAGACCTCAAGTGCCTCAGAGTCCTTCAGGCTTCCTAGCTCATATTTGGAATTGAATCCGGTGTTTCTTCTCATCATCCATGCAGGGCCCAAGAAACTCTCGGATAATTTTTTTCTGAGAGGGAAGCATTAAGACCTGGCTCCAAGCCTCGATTTCCGTTGCATACATTCAACGACAAAAAGAGCAACTCAGCCCGGTCTCAGCCGGATAAAGCGAATGTCCCTAGGCACGCTGGCCGTGGATCCTGTATTGAGCTGAGTTTTAGTCCTCTGCCTCGTGATCCCAGCGGCCATAGCCATCCCCTTCATGGGGCTCTTCAGTATTCTCATTTTCAAAAGAGGCCTCTTCCTCCTCTTCCTCCCGGATTACCTTCATTAGCTCAAGAAAGCTGGGAGGTGGGCCCTGATCCTTCAGCTCCCTCAGCCTGCACCAAAGGACCTCACTGAGGTTGGCTCCCGCCATCACCTGCTCCAGGCGTACCTGGTCTGCGATATTCCTGGGGATGGCTCTTTTCTCCACCGCTCGCCGGAGCAGGGTTTCTAGCCGCAACACGTAGGCTGAGACCTTCTCCCCCTCCTCCTGATAGGTCTTCAGGTACTTCACCTGGGAGGTCCTGCGGCTCTCCAGGCTTCCGAACACTTGCTTAAACGCCTCCAAACACTCTTCCACGCTGATGGCCGCGTTGTCGGCCTGCACTATGTGCATGAGGTCCAGGGCAGGGCCGCGCAGGCTTTCCATCAACCACCTTTTCTTTTCTGCCTCCGCTACCGGCCACTCTTCGACGATCTCAGTGGCTTGTGCCAACCAGATTTCAAAGGGCTCTTCCTCGGGAGCAGGCACGGCACTCCCTGAGAACACTCTCAGTTTCCGGTATCTCATGGGCAGCAGAGGCTGTGGGGCATGTGCCATCGCCTGTCCCAACCAATGCGCCAATAACTCTGGCGATACACAGGGCGTGGTGGCCGGAGACACTCCCTCATGCCCGAGGGCTCGGAACATCCCCGAGACTGTCTGCCCCTCTTTTTCCAGAAATAGGTTCAGTCGTTCAAGAAATTCCGTGTCCTGGTTAGGGGTCTTGAAGACTACTTTCCAGATCCCCCCCTTTCCCTGAACCTCATTGGGGATCACCGAGACGTCAGTATCTTCCATAAGCTCTAGTAAGACCGCATTGGCATTCTCCTGCTTCCTGAATATTTTGCCAAGCAGTCTATACCTGCCCAGAGACTTCAAAGTCTCCTGGAGGACCTCCTGAATCTCAGCCTCATTACAGTCCACCGGTATCCCCATAACCATCAGTGACTTCTGTTCATCCACGCTCATGATCCTGCACCAGTCCTCCAACAGGGCCAGTGCCATGGTGCCGGTATTCGCTTGCTCTAACTCTATGGCTACCAACTCCTTTTTGGTGCAGATACCCACTGCAGTAGGACTCAGAATATTCTGCGTGAGCTCCTGAACTTCTACTTCCCCCGTGAATGGGTCCTAGGCCACTCCCCCAGCAGTCCCCAAGTCTTGGGGACCAATAACCCTTACTCGTGTAGTGGTAAAAACACAGCACTGACAGTTCTGTCTCTAGACCTGAGCCAAGATGCCTGGTTGGGTATCTCGGTAATGCCAGCGCCACTCCCTGTGGCTCTGCTGTCCAGGGGCTGCTGTGGCTCTCTCCCGGACGCTAGCAGCCACGTGGTGGTGTTGACCCTTCTCCAATGGCCCCAGCCACCTGCAAGAGCTGCTCTCGCTAGCCACTGGGAAAGGCCTCCATTTGGGCACCCAGTGATCCCGAAGAGAAGTGTCCCAGCAAGGTGGCTTGGACTCCTAGTGAAACAATGGTTAGTTTTACCACACAGCCCTCTCCTCCCTGGGGAGCACTGTGCTTTGGTTCAGGATGCAAGTGGGGGTAGACCAGGGGTTCTGTATCATTTTGGATTTGCATCTGCCCCATTCTGTCAGACCTCTTCTTTGCTTAGAGTGACTTCCTTTTTTTTGTCTTGGGGGACCCTCCTGCAACCTGGCTTCCCCATCATTTGCTCATCAGGCATGCCAATTAATGTCTGAGCCACGGTTGAAGACAGGACTCGAGATTTTCCCCCATGTGAAGAATGAAATTAGATATGGCTAGATACCTGTGTATGTGTTCCGGCTGTTCATGAGAGTCACACACTTATGTAGTAGCTTCTAGAAAATGAAGGTGTCACCCATCTCCACACAATGGTGTGTCTGGGTCCTTCTTAGCTCCAGCGAAGCCAAGCTGCCCTGTTACACATAAATAACAATAATATATATTTATGGCTTGATGATATCCAGTGATGACTGTTAATGAACTCATTTTAAAAATGACAATCCTTTACAATATAATTAAGTCTACTAAACAATATGGAGTTGCCCCATTTCTTTGACTAAAAAATCCAATTAATCACTCAAACATTTAAAACCAACTTAATATAGATATAATAATTTAACTTATATACCGTACCATACTATACTATAGGCATAATGATTTAGTATAGGTTGACCATTTTTTAAAAGATTTAATTTATTTACTTGAGAGAGAGAAAGAACAAGTGAGAAAGAGAGAACAAGCAGGAGCAGAGGGAGAGCGAGAAGCAGAACCCCTACTGAGCAAGGAGCCCAATGCGGGGCTCCATCTCAGAACCCTGGAATCATAACCTGCGCCAAAGGCAGAGGCTTAAGCAACTGAGCCACTCAGGTGTCCCTAGGTTTAACAATTAAAAAAAAAAAAATCTCAGAACCAAATATGTTAAACTTGGAATTATGAATTCTCTTTTGTTATGTGTGGGCAGACTTTGCAAATGCACAACTAGGTGTTTCTTTTGCTATGAATGTTAAAAATGCTTCATAACATTTAAGTGTGAACAGGTCATTGGAGGAAAAAGAAAAACAGGAAGAACATGTGTGGAGAGTGGTGGAGACCAGGGGATATAAGAAGGGAAGAGTTCCTACCGTCTCCCACTTACTGCCATGTGCTGTGTGTTACGGGGCTACAAATATCCTTCGGTAGGCCTGAAACATCCCCATCAGTCCAAATGGGGTCCATATGCCACAGATGTCAGCCCACAGCTATGGTGGCAGCTTCTCCCGCCGCAGGCACATGTTCTGAGTCCTTCTGGAAAGTGCTGAAGGCATGGCACGTGCCAGGGGGCCAGGAGGGCAAAATATTGGATCTGACCCCCAGCCAGCAGCCCCAAGGATCTGAGCTTCTCCGTGCCATACTTTACCTTCTAAGATATGAGGGGTAACCTTCCTCTCCTCATAATATTTAGAGGAAATAGGAACTGTATAAAGGTATCGACTGCCCAGGAAGAAACATCTCCAAGGTCTACATAATAAAGGCCATGTTGAGGTTAGGCTACCTTTGGCCAGAGGCTTTTTCCAAAGGTGATCTCTACCTGCAATGGAAATATTTGGACATGAAAAAAAAAAAAAAGTAAAAATCTTGTATTTTCTCATGTAAAGATGGGATACATTGGAAAAGGAATCAGATATTCACCTGTAATTGTGGGATCATTTAGCTAGATAGTGACCTTGGCCAAAGTGCCTCACTCTCTCTAAATCTGCTTCCTGCTCTGGAAATGGGTGATGATAAAAGCACTCCTCTCATGGGCTTGCTCTGGGTAGGAAATGATGTAATTTCTGTGGAAGCACTTTATTCAAATCCGAAGCACATCGGGTGCAGAGTCCAAACGCCTACTTCTGGTTCTCTCCGGCCCCTCCACACAAATATTCTTACCCTCTCGCAGTCTCCTTGTTCTCAGCCGGGTCCTCCTTCCCACCTGTAATGCTGGGCTAGTCTTCAAACTGTCACTGGTCGTCCTCCAAATTTAACTCCATTCCCCAAACTGTCGCTCACGATGGGGGGTGGGGTGGGGAGGTATCTGAACTTACCCTTCCAGGGGCAAGGGCTGACAATGGGAATGGATCCTTGGTCGCACTACACTGCGCGACGGTCTTGTGGTATACAGCTTCTCCGAACCCAAACCCACCCTGGTTACTGAGCATGCCCAGATCTCCCTCTCCAGCAGCCAAAGGATGGGCATCTTTCCTGCAGGATTTTGCCACTATGGAAAGAGGGGCGGGGCTGTAATCGACCAGAGGCAGGGATTGATACATGGAAAAGACGTGGGCACAGGAAAAAGCAATGAAGGACTCTCAGAAACCGCGTTACCGGAACAAATCAAAATGCCCCTTATCTGCCCACCAACCCAGTAGCTGTGGCTGGTTTAGCTGCACGTGCACACCAAGTCCACACACCTTTCCCCCGCGTGGCCTCACACAATTCAAGCCACCATCACAGACTGCACCCCATCTCCTACCCCACCACTGGACTCGCACGCACGCACTTCACATCCCAGGCACTTGGCGTCTGGCAACCTGGGAAACCCCGCGGCTCTGGCGCACTGCGCCACGCGGGCGGGGGATCGAGGCGGGGCACTCTGGGCGCCGAGGGCTGGGGACTTGGGGAGTGGGCTTCAATCTGCGTCTTACCCTCTTTTTTTGGCAAGGAAGGAGGGGCGGAAGATACCAAATCAAGACAATCTCCTGGGTCTTTCTTGATGCAGTGGCGCAGTTACTGTACTTGACGCCTTTGGGCAATAGAATAGGTCTCATCCCACTCTTACTACAACTTGCCGTTCGGTGCCAGAATTTGCAGACTGCACTTTTTGCTACACTCCCACGGCGCGCAGACCTCTGTCTTTACACACACACACACACACACACACACACACACCGCCCGCCGCGTTTGCTACGCCCTTCTGCATTTCTCCCCGCCAGGCTAGGCGCCCCCCACCACTGTGGGTGCGGTGAGTGAGAACCTCTTCGTTTCAATCACTGCATAGCCCACCAAGGCCCACGGGTAACCAGGTTTCGTATCCCGTACATCGTAAGGCCCCCACCTCTTCATACAGTCTGCGCCATCCCTTCCCCATCGTCAGTGCTGCCCCTTCCTCCCTCCCCGGGTGTCCAGGCGTCAGTCGGTTCGTCCCCTTTTCCCCATCCATCAGCTTACACCCTGGGTAAAGGGGAGGAAGCCCTCACTCTGGTGGGCCCTTGCCCCTGGCCCACCTCTGCAATGCCGTAGGGGGAGAGACTGCTGGGCCAGGTAGGTGGGGGAGAGGGGCGCAGAGGCCAGGGGCTGCGCCCTCGGGTCTTCGCTCCCTGCGTACCCTGCCCCATACTTACCCTGGCGCGGAAAGCGGTCAGCAGTCCCTGCGCTCCGCATCCATTAGCGGGTGGTCTGGCCGCTTCACTTCCGGAGCGCGGGACTCTTGGAGGCCCGGCCCTCCCCCCCTCCCCTGCGCTCCTCTCCCCTCCCCTGCACCGCGCCCCGCCCCCGCCCCGCCCGCGCCTCCCTCCTCCTGCTGCTGCCTGGAACTGGCCGCCTCTCTGTTCCCGCTGCCGCAGCGGCGGCCCTCCCAGACCCAACTTTGCTGCTCGCGGGAGCTGGCGCGGCGGCGGGGGGCGTGGGCAGGGAGGGGAGAAAGCGGGGTCAGAGGGAGGGACCGGGAGGGGTGGGTCGCTCGCTCGCCAGCCCTCCTTCCTTTCTGTACACCTTGCAGTAGGCAGAGAGCGGCAGCCTCGCGGCAGCCAGGGGGTTTGTTCACAGAGAGACCGATTTAGGGACCGGCAGACGGACGGACGGAGAGGACCCTCCCCGAGCTCCCGCGCCATGGCAGAGAGGAAGCAATCCGGGAAGCCGGCAGAGGACGAAGAAGTCCCTGCCTTTTTTAAAAACCTGGGCTCAGGCAGCCCCAAGCCCCGGCAGAAATTCTGTGGCATGTTCTGCCCGGTGGAAGGGTCCTCCGAGAACAAGACCATCGACTTCGACTCGTTGTCTGTAGGCCGGGGCTCGGGGCAGGTGGTGGCTCAGCAGCGAGACGTCGCCCACTTGGGCCCGGACCCGCAGCCACCGTACTCCCGGCAGAGCCGGCGCGCCGGCGGGGAGCCATCTGTTGAATCGAGCCGGAAGGTGGAGATCCGGCGGGCCTCGGGCAAGGAAGCCTTGCAGAACATCTACGACCAGGTTGGTATGGGGGCGGGGAGGGGTGTTCGAGACGCAGTACCAGACGTGGGGTCTCTCCTCCCTAGGCTCCCTTCCAGCTCGGTGGAGAACCGAGGATCCCAGCGTGCCCATCGTCCTGCCTCACTTGAATATTGCTTCCTCAAATCTGTACATGCACCCCGCCCTACTTGCCCCTTCTACGTACACGGTGCAGAGAGGCTCGGGCGCGGCGGTGGGCGGCTGTGCGCCCACAAAGGCTGCCCGCTCCTCCCTGGGCCTAGTAGGTGGGGGGGGTGGGAGTAAAGGATGAACCGATCCCGATGCCCTGTTGGGGGTCGTATGGTGGTGTGGGGGAGGGTTGAACCGATTCCATTCTTCTTAAATCCTTCC